CAACACCAAGTTGGAGACGCCGAACCTAGACGCACACCGTCGAAAGGCAAAACCGTAACTACAGATGGAAATCTAGGCATGTGCTTATCACTGATGATGCGGTGTGATTCGGTGATCGATCGCCGATCATTTCGCTTGGATGCAGTCACAAATCCGTTATTGAAGGACGAGCATGTGATTATCTTTGTCAACTATGCTATGATGATATGCTTTGATTTCTGGTTTATGGTTTGTTTTGAAGCTCTGTGGGCTTGCTTTGTTATTATGACTTTTGAGATTTTCTATCTCACGAATGAAAATTTGTTTTGATCAAAAAGAAAATCCAACACCAAAGTTATATCCACCAACACAAAGCAAACAATTTAGACGCATGCTATCATGATTTATTGCCATGCTTGCCACAATCTATAGGAAAATACCTCGAAATATTTTTTTTTATGAAAAAGGGCTAAAGCCGTATACAATTTTTTTCTTCTTTTGAAATGCCTCGGAGTATTGGACCAATCATCAACCAATATAATATGCAAAAAAATATATATACTTTAATGGTTATGTCCCCCGCTGAACTCGCAGTTATCCACCAGTTTCGGACCTATACGAAACGTGCCCCTACAATCGCCTCAATTTTCGGTACCATGTTCTTGCTTTCTCTTCGCATATATAAACCGAATCGATTGAAACCCAAGCAAAACCAACGATGACTTCTCTTCGCATTGCTCTCCTCTTAGTATTGGTAACAACGAAGAGCGCAAGCGCGAGGAAACTCTCAGGAAACGTCGACGAAGCGACGGTCGACGAGCCAGTTGTTAGTGTGGTGAGCGCGCTGCCGAACGGCACGCGAGCCATGCAGATCCGTTGCAAGCCCGAGGGCTCGGCCGCGGTGATCGACCAGGCACTGAGCGCGGGGCGGGGATGTAGTTGGACGGCCAGGGAGAAGGCACTGTACCGGTGCGAGGCGGTGTGGACGAGGATGTTCGCGGCGTGGCACGCGTTCCAGCCCCGCCGCGACGCGGGGCGCGGCCGGGTGGTTTGGCTGGTCAGGGAGGAAGGGTTCTTCCTCGGGGTGAATGGGACCGGTTGGATCAGGAAGGCCGTGTGGGAATCCGAGTGAAGGAATTTTGAGTGAGTTGTAGTGCTTCTCTATTGATGTCAACCGTCCCTATATGATGGTTATTGTCACTAAATTACTGAAGGAAATCCACTCTTGAGAAGTTCTCAAGAGTACAGTGTTTTATCCTCCGTGAGTTTGAAATCCTCTATTTTTGGACTATGGGATTTGCCGAAAATCGATAAGAAAATTGAATTTTTCATTTTAGGGAAAGGGTTTATTGTGGTTTTCGAGGGCGCGCCGGACCCAGGTCGCACGCAACCCGAGTGGCCTGAGCCATGCCGGAAGGCCCGTTTCACTCGAGATATTTATCAAACACTTGGACCCAGCCCACTAGGCCTAATTTCACTTGTCACAAAGCTTGCCTCCAAAATGCCCTCATTTCCACACTTAATCACAAATAAATTGCTGTAGTCCACAACTTTACAAGCACTACAACTGCCCTAGCCTGAAGTTTTCATTTGTGGACTCGAATTGGGGTTTAGAGATGTCGCCAGTTTCAGGAGCCCAAGTCTTCAATTCACAAAGAAAAGAAGAAAAAACCCAATAGATTAGGCCTTGTCAGGTCCAGCCTATTACTCAATCGTTACACTTGTGCTGTAGTTATCAACCGGTGCGCTTGCATCGAGCATAAACAATCATGCATTAATGTGGGATTAGTTTGATGTTCCTTTTGTTTTCGGCCAATGGTAAAGTCTTGACGTTCAAAGAGTTCTGGAGGATCTATGATTAAGCACCATTATCGATCTCATAGCCCGGATCAAGTCGGCAGAGCCCGAAAGACATTGTTTTCGATCTGGTAACGAACCTAGACAACCGGTCAAGCCCGACCCGAGGAGCCAGCCTCGTCCGGCCCCGCCTACGATGACCTCTCTAGTGCCAAGTGGTGGAGGTTGCCTTTTCAATGTACTCATATGTATTTGCAAATCCACAAAAAAGGAGTGGGCAAGTGGAGGCATGGCAACATCATGAAGCCACTAGTTACTAGTCACTACTGACATTACGTATGTCCTTCCCCTTAACTTTGCTTTGGCATCATCGTTCCCAGATCAAGAAGAATCGCACGTTTATTATAAAATAAGTGTTAAAACAGGAACCGCCAAAACCAATGCTTTTTACCAAAACCATTTCAGCGCAGACAACAACTTTATATCATCGCTCCCTCTTTTTGCAATGATTTGGTGTTCGAACGCGATGGATTTCTTTGTTTTATCTATAATGCCAGAGAACGGACATGGAGACCTGGTTGAGCCCATGGAATACCCTGTAAATCTCATGAATCAGTTAAGTCTGTATTTTTTACCAGTGAAATTGAACATGACCCAGAACAATTTACAAACTGTTAATGATATCTTGACGGATAATTTTTTATTTCCTAAAGTGAAAAATCTCTCAACATTTCAACCAACTATTACCATCCGATCCTAAGGAATAAAGCCCATAGATTTCGATGCTGCTTTTGGCGATCGAGGGGAGTTCCGGGTTTACTATTTTACTTAGCTGTCTTTGTTTGTCCTGATAAAGACAATAGACAGGTCATGTAGTGGCCGGACTTGATCTTCCTTAGTACCCAAGTTGAGATTATTGTAATGATCTCCCTAGTTTATAAAGAGGTCCTAATCATTACAGCACGCCGCAAAAGATAAGCTATTCTAGTGTTCTTTTGATCTATTCTAGTGGATTCTCCTGTGAAGTGGATTTGGAGGCTAGCCTTTGCGTGCTAAAAGCAAATTAAGTGCAATCGATGTAGGACATAGGATAACGGCGCCCACATTCCTTTCCACGATGAATTGGGATTTGGTGAAACACGAGGTTATTTCGGCTTCAAAACATATTCGCCGGCACAATTATACTCGATGAATGACCTGTGAGAAAATCTAAAACATAAATCGCACCATCAAGGTTCCGGGTTCCGTTCTTTACAGGAAAAAAGAGATAATCATGCACTCGACTCTAACGTCGCAACAGGACTAGACGTGCCTCGCCCACAATCCCTAATGCTTTTGGTGGAATGATCTGGAGACAATCTTTCTAGAAACAGAAATTGAAAGGGGAAAAGAACCTGAAGAGATAGAGATTTATCAAAAGACATTCTCTACGGTAAATAATAAAAGAGGGAACATGCATGTCCCACCAACCGGCCCCATCTCACTTGCCATATCAATGCACCTAAGAGAGCGCTGATTAAAATAGATATATCATGCGAAATATATCAATGAATACCAAAAGTTGAAGTTATGTATTGGCATGCATAAAAAAGGAAGTTGTTTTTTTCTTCTGTTCGAAGATAAAGAGGAACTCGAGTGACTGAGATAGTGGGCATTATTGCCCATTGGAAAGTGCTTTTCAATGAGCTTGACCTAGACAAGATTGAAGGACTGGAACTTGGATTGGCATGTTTGGGAAGGTTAGCTATGTGCCAGCAAATGCCATATTTGTATTTTTGGACACATTAGTTAATAAATGAATAGGGTTAATACTACAAAAAACCCAAACTATTACACTCGTGATAAATTTACCCCAAACTAATTTTTTTTTACCACCAAATACCCCAAACTGATACATTTGTGATAATTTTACTCTTTGTTAGTTTCCGTTAAATTTCACCGTCAAATTTCTGAGCAAGATGACACGTGACAATTAACGAGTGTACCAGTTTGAGATTTTACCCTCCATCTATCACAAGTGTACCATTTTGTGATTTTTCGTAATACTAATCTAATTTAACAGAGGATAAATTTGTCACAAATGTACCAATTTTGGATTTTTTTGTGATTAAAAATTAGTTTAAAGTAAATCTGTCACAGGTATACCGGTTTGAGGTTTTTTATGATAAAAAAATTAGTTCGGGATACATTTGTTGCGGGTATATCAGTTTTAGGTTTTTTGTGGTATTAACCTAAATAAATAATAAGAATAGAGCAAGATAAAGTGATTGCCTTATTAAAATGCCCAAAGGGATCTTCAAATATCGCTTACCAATTTGTTTGTGCTTCCTAAAAGTCATAAAGTAACTTCTTTTTTCTAACTTTTCTGTTAAAGTTCAAAATATTATCTAAAATTTAAAAGAACCCATGAAAAAATTGTATGAGGATTTACATGTCCATCTAAGACCATTGTTTTGAAGGTTTCGAGGACTTTGTGTTAAAAGTAAGTCAAATTCCGTACCCTCAAGATTTAAAAAAAAGAAAAATCAAATGTAAAAGTGACTCCAAACAAAGAAAAAAATTCAGTCACATTAGCCTTTGTCTTCTTTCTGGCCTTTAGTTGTCCACCACAATTAACACAATTTTGGCGTGCTATCGTGGCATGACACCAATGATAGGCATGCATTCATGCCTATGTGGTATTAACAAGCTAATCGAGCCATTTCACTTTACTTCTTACATTACAAATTTTTTTTTTGTCTCATTGATCTTTTCTACATGCATGTGTGTACAATATTCACGTGGATCGAACCCTAAATCTGGTACTCTCTGGCTCTATCCCCTCAATTTTTTTACCAGTAGGACCGCATATCTATTGGCCTTACTTTACAATTGACCGAGAAATATTTGAAGCTCAAGATGCATATGAGCCAATTTCTCTCTTGGTATCACGAGGCCAATTTCAGTGCATCGAGTGCATATGAGCCACGTGCATTTGAATCCTTAGATCGTGTCAGTGTGCGTCCCACTAATATCGTGGACCGATACACATGGAGCTCGGACCCGGATCAACTTTTCCAAGAATTTTTCCAAGTGTCACAAGTGCTGATCATCCCATGGCTGAACTTTGAAACGTACTTCCGAGAACAGAAACTGAGATAGAGATTTGCTCATTTTTACTGACACTCTTACAAGCCACACACCACCCCCACCACCTTCTCAGAATATAATCTCTCTCTCTCTCTCTCTCTCTCTCTCTCTCTCTCTCTCTCATATCTCATCACCCACCGCTTGCCTTCTTCATCGTCTTCTTCTTCATCTTCTTCATCGACCATAGAATGAAACTCCTCGCAGGCTTCCTCCTCATATCCTCCTTCTCCCTCTGCTGCTTACTCCTGTCCAAGTTCCTCGAGCCCGAGTACTTCTACGGCGCCGACTTCGACGTCCGCGTCATCAATGGCTTCCGCACCAACTCCTCGCTCCCCCTCGTGATCTGGTGCTCCTCCGACTACCACGGTGACATCGGCGGGCGGGCACTCCAGGAGGGCGACGACTTCAGCTGGGTCGTCCGCGCCAACTTTTGGGGCGGGGCTGCGCGCTTCCTCTGCACCATCAAGTGGGACGGCACAAGGAGGCGATTCGACGCATTCGAGGCCGAGCGAGACGGCCGCCGGTGCGGCCCTCTCAGGAAGTGCTCTTGGCTCGTGAGGGAAGACGGGTTTTACTTTAGCAGCGACGAGGTCAACTGGAAGAAGGACTTCTCATGGTTTTAGGAGAACAAGAAACAGTTTTGGCGGGTTATTTAGTGGTTCCTTCATTTAAGAATAACGCGTAAGTACGCGGACACTGGTACATTAAAATGAGTATGCTAAATGATGCGATAGATCGTAAGCGAATGTTTACAAATCCGTCTGCATTATTACGTGTATTTATTTTATGAGTCGGGTTCGAGTATGCGTGGTAATTTTCTCTTATCCTAGAAAGGATGTATATATCGTTGCTTATACCATATGAGCATGGACGATATTATTAGTGTTTTTTAAAGTGTTTAATTAGGTTAATGACTTTGGTTTATGGGGGGTGATGGTTACGTCTATCAATTTCACGTGATCTTGTTTATGGTAAGAGATAAGTTGGAATAGGACTAGGCATGCTAAGTGTTGGGGTGGTCCGACAGGTTGATGCAGGGTGGGACTCCTGTGTGAGTAGGTCCACTGATGGGAAATTGAACTAGGATTGAAATGGATAATGATACATGATTATTTGTCGTTCGATCGCGACACACACACACATAAAAGATATTATAAGACGATAATTCCTAATTGACAAAAGAAATGTTCCTGGTGGTGTTCTTCGATAGTGCTAGTGTCCCCATATCAATCTCATAACACCCAACCATTGTGATCATCGACTCCTCTTGTTAGAATATCTGGCCTAAAAATTTAAGCTTATAAGTGAAGAGATATGTCCCGTAGACAAGTGATATGGGTTGCTTTAATACCCCTCCTACGTGCAAATCGAATTAGGAACGACACGTCGAATTTGACAGATGAGGAGAATCACAAGAAATAAACTGAGGTAAAACCTTACTTTGATACCATACTAGAATGGTCAATTTAAAAACTTAAGGTCATCGTTGAAGTACACATGTGAGTTGTATTAAAATATCCCGTGTCGGAGAATTGGTGTTTGAAGCAATTAATATTATCCTAGTTGGCTAATAACTCATTGATTTAAATTTTTGAGTTAACGTGTGTTTAACTGAATATGTTGACGGGCTCGGATTTGAGCTCCCTCTTGACGATCTCCCCCGGTAAAGGTATCAGAACACTAATTATAGAGAGAAACCACATGTATATAAAGAACACATAAACTTCATAAACAAGCAATATAAAATCTTTAACATCCCTTACCCATCTCGTACGGCTCACTTCCAAACATTTCGTTATAAGTTGAACGGATGGGATCCTTTGTTTTCATTTGGTTTTCTCGTAACAAAACTCAATGGTTATAACCATTAATCAAGATGGATATAATTGTCCAGAAATGTATGATTGAATACATCAATAGTTGACATATTTGAACTCAGTTTCATCCTCTAATTTTTCTGTCCGCATATCCGTCGACTATTACATGAATATGGATTACCTCTTTTTTCTTGAACAAGTTAACCTCTGCTAAATTTTCTTAACTTCATTAATCACACCGCACTCTTTATCTTCTAATCGTCATTTACAATATGTTAAAGGTTATATTAATAATGGAAAATGAGTTTCATTTTGCTGTAACACCTAACAGTTATGCAGATGGGAAAACTAAGGGCATTAACAAAAATAATAATTCAAAAGGGCGATCTGTCATTTCGAAAAGTACAAAAGCTATAGCGCCATGATGCCAAAGATCAAACGGGTAATATACAACTTTTCAAAGTACTGGAACTATTGGGAAATAATGCCAAAGTTGAGTGGGGGCACTAGTTTTAATCCAAAGCAGTTGAAAATATTTGACAATATGCTGAAACCTTTCATTTGCTGGAAATCCCCCTAAAGATTTTACTTATCGTGACTAATTACGATTTTTACTAATGTCACCAATCGTTCGGATTTTTACCTGTTTTAACAGGCCCATGAGATTAGTCGGATTTTTACCTGTCTCTTATCCCCGTATTTCTTTCAGTTTAAAATTGGTCCATGTGTCCTTTAAAAAGATCAATCTTCATCCTTGAAGAATTTAGCGACAAATTTTGCTAATTTGGACTAAACGACTTTAAATGCCACTAATGTGGACTCTCTCGCGCGGATCTAGAAACAAGATTTGCAAAGATCTTGCCTTAGGCTAAATCCTCAAAAAGAGTACTCAAATAACTACATAAGGTGATAACCATTTGGATGTAAATATTGACTTATGAATATCTGAACAAGGCTTCTCTCATCCAATATAGGATTTGGGATGTCATAAGACCGCCGCCGCCACACGGTTGTTGTAGCCGCGAGCCTCAGAGTTAGCAAGCGGCCAAGTGGCAGTGGTCATCATCTCGTGAGCCGTAGGTGACGCGGACCTTAGTGTGCTAGCACAAAGATAAGGCCATCACAAAGAAGCGATCGTGCTTCCATTCTACAAGCCTCGAGCGGCAGCAACCATCGTGTGGTGGTTGCTTTCGCCACGGCAGTCACCCCCCCCCCCCCCCCCCAATCCTCTCTTGTGAAAACGGACCACCGCCGCAAGGTGGCTGCTAAACTCAGGTGACGCCCCACTTGGTGTCGTTTTCGCCATCACCCGTCCCCCTCTACCTTTACATTATTGTTATTATTATTTTGGTTTGTATGTTGGTTTGCGTCACTTACTTTGCATCACATAAGAATTTGAGTGAATTCACATGGGACGAAGATAACAAGATGTCAAAAGGCAACATGGACACATATCGTAACCAGTTGCTCCATTCTTGACGAAAGGAAGGAAAGAAAAAGGAGAAAGGAAAGGATACATAACGAAAGAATGGAGAGCAACTGGTTACGAAGATAACTCAATCAAAAGGCAACATTGACACATGTCACGTGAACTATCTAAGCTGTACAGATTCACGAGACTGATTACGGTGCTCATCAATCCATATCTTTTACATTGGAATTTATTTCATGAGTACGAAAGAAAGTGACACATAAAAAACTTAAAATAACAGAACATACAGCCAGAACAACAGGAAAATACAAAAAAAAAAATCTATGTAAATGTAAATCATAAATTATACGGGTGTGATGTATGGTGCAGTTTTATCGTGAATGTTGAGATTAATTGGTTTTATTCAGTCTTAAAAATTAAAATTGCAATAAACAGGTCAACATTTCCGATTAATTTATACGATCACTAAGTATGCATGTTTAATTTATATTCATGCTGCTCTTTTCTAAAAACTAATAAAAGGTCTGATGAAAAGTAATGTTAAATTAAAACTGAGAATTAAGAAAATAAAGTGTGGATTTTGAGGAATCTTTTACCTAATTATGAAATTCTCGAGCACCGACGCCGTCCCTTTGTCTTTTAATTATTCTTTGTATTGGTGGTTTCTGTTGATTTAAATTCAAATGCGAACTTGGAAGAGAATTAAAAATCATGAAAAGTCATCAAGTGAACATCATTTGGGAGAAATATAAAAATCATTAAGAGTCCTGAAATGGAAAGATTATCTTGCATGGGAAAAATTTACAGTCTGTTTTTACGGGACTGGTCCCGTAGTCAATTGGATCGTTGGATAAAGAGAAAAAAAATCGCGGTTCATCAATTAGCTGTGCATAAACAATTTAATGTAGATGGTGCATGGAAAGATAACAGATGTGCCATAGGTATTATTGCACGATTGTATAGATGCTCAATTGTCTAAGCGTGGACAAGACGAGGAAGATGGAACTCACCAGTGGAAGTGGAAGTTGCAGCTCTGCTTCTCGCATGCAAAGTTGCTCAGTCTCTTGGCATTCACAAAGTGATTGTAAGGTGTTAATTGATACTATTCAACAAAAGGGCATTTGTCCTTGGTGTATTCATCATTTCGTCTCGGACTCTCGCTTACTATTTAGCAACAATCCAGAATGGAGTTTGAAGTGGATCAATAAATCTAGTACTGTTGTTGCTCATGAGCTTGCAAAATGGGCTTTTTATCAGTTAGGAACTGCATCATCTTTCTTTTTTAATTATCTCTCATCTAGAGTCAAAAACTTAGTGTTAGCGGAATCTTCTTTAATTTATCATCTTGATATAGGCTCTAGTTTTTTTGTGTAATATTTGAACTTCTCTGATGTAATGGAAGGTTTGTTTTAGCAAAAAAAAAAAACCAATTTTCCTTTGGAAAGTTACGGATGCAATGGTGATCAACCTTACATTTGATTAGGATTAGTTAGGATGAGTTAGGAAAATCGCTATTGATTACTTTTTTGTGAGAAATGGATGAACTGCAAGACTCGGAAAACTTATTATTACCATCCAAAATTGAATTACGCCCTCTGAAGAAAAAGGATATTTTATGGGTAGATTATTACGATCCATTAGGTAATTACTAACACTAGGAAATGAAGTTTACCAAGAGAAATTACGTCCTGCGAAGAAAATACACCAATTGATATACAGTAGATAAATTACTATTACGAGGAAAATTACGAATATCAAAAGAAAGTCGCGATTAATTGAGCGAACGACGATATTAGTTATTTCAATAGTACTCTAAAGCAATTAATAATTTGGGCTAAAAGAAAGCAATTAAGGGTGCATTCGTTTCGCGGAAAATGAGTGATTTAGAAAATATTTTCCGAAAAATAATTGCTTATATTGTTTAGAAAAATTAGTTAAAGGAAAATATTTTTATCATCGATAACAATCTATGCCTAACTATTTTCGTGGGCGATGAAAAAAATTTTCATTTATTTATTTTTGTAAGTGATACAAGCAATTATATATTTGAAAATATTTTTCAAATCGCTCATATTCTGTGAAACGTACGCACCTTAAAAGTGGGTTGCTCAGGTCACATGAACAAATCTAGCTTACTTATACGATTTCACATTTGAAAGAATTAGACATACTTAATCGATTGAATTTTCTTTTCAAAATCCAGTATTTTTTTTCCTCAGTGCTTAAGGATCCAATAGTGAAATACTCACAACATATTATGCATATATGTAAGTCAAATTATCAAAAGATAATCCCTAAAGATCTCATTAGATAAGACTGAAAATATCTAAAAAAAGGTTGGCATAGTAGATATTATCACTAATTATAAGCGTCATTAAGGGCATTGCATTCTAAAATAATGAAGATAAAGTACAGTAGTTTATCCCTAGTTAGATTGACCACTATACTATTACAAGAGAGTGAGTTCGTTTTTTATTGAGCGAGTAAGTGATTTATCAAACACTTTTTATTTCAAACTCTCTAGTGGAAAATTCAATTTTTCAATTCAAACGACAAGGTTGATATTAACATATAATTAGATGTACCATATATATTTTTCGTATTTAGTGAAGTTAAAATCCATTATAAGATGCTTCACATACTTATTTCGTAATACTCCGGAGTCGATAGTGCCAAATAATAGTCATTTTCAAGTTAACTTGAAAAAGCAAATTGTCACTTCCAACTCTTGGAAATTGGGGTGAGGCTATAGCTTTGAAATTGACGGAAAAAAAACCAATAATATGATTTTATTTTCTGAGAATCATCGTGGATATTTGAAAATAAAAATAGTCGAAAAAATTAATCACTTATCAACTCTTATACCAAAAGAAAAACAAATTATTAAACTTCTAAGAAGAAGGGCAAAAGCCACCAAATACCATAAACTATGCACGTTGTGACACATTTGCCCTAAATTCTTTTTGCGACACAAGAAATCCCAAACTTGTACTTGCGTAACACATTTACCCTCTGTCAAGGTTCCATCAATGAGCACCGTTAAAAATTTGGATGCCAGAAAGCAAACAGTGTTGACATGGCGTACATGTAGCTTAAGTGAAATAAAAACGACGTTATTTTAACTGAAAAATCATCTGACGGAACCTTGATGAAGGGTAAATATATCACATTGATAAAGTCTTGGGGTTTTTTATATCACAAGAAAAAATTTAAGATAAACGTGTAACAGTGGACATAATTTAGGGTTTTTGATGTCATAGAAAAAGTTCATAATAAATATGTCCCAGTGAGTATAGTGTAGAATTTTTTATGTCTTTTTCGCTAAGAAGAATTCCACCTACCAACTCTCCACCAAAATGAAAACATAACATCAAACTCGAAAACCTGTGGACCAAGCCACTCACCATTTTACTATTCCTACCCCATCCATTTCCATTTTATATGCAGAATTGGGAATCTTGTCACAGAGAAAATGACTCGTGGAGGAACAAGGATCAAATGGTCTTTGCCTTGTCTCTATCTAGTGACATTTCATACGGTCATGAATCATGAATAAACCCTAGTGTGTGTTCCTGCAGATTGTTTTCCACAGGAGAAAATGCCAACGATGGCCTCAACAGAAGAGATCGTTTGCATTCCTCCCTTCCCGCCCGTTTGAATAAGCAATTGGATGACGATGATGATGTTAGGAAATACCAATGAAATGATACCGAGGAATGAACCCCCAAACGTGACAGGTCCAGTTATGTTTTTCCCCGATTTTTGTTTTCCACGAGAGCACGAGTTGACTTGCTAGAATGATCGGTTTAAGTAGGTTTTGTCTATCCCCGTACGGAGAGAACACGTTCTGCTAGCACATGGTTGCATCACATCAAATGGAAAGGAAATCCTTGCCTATTCCAAGCGAGTAGCATTTGCTTACCTTCTTGCGGGGGTGGGCAAGATGATCCTTTCTTTTCCTTCTTCACTCTTTTTTTAACGACTCAAGGGTATGATCGTAATTAGCGGACTACTTAAAGGAGAACTAGCACAACAACCAGCTACCATGGCCCCCCACTTAAATCTGAGTTCTCATGGTAGGAATCGATCTCACAACAACCGAATCTTGGACCAACGCATGGGAAAGGTCTTGCCAAGCAATAAGGCTAGCTTTTCCCTCATTGTGAGGCAAATATTGCTCCCTTTTCGCTGCTTTAAGTGGCAAGACGAAGCACGTTATGGCATGGCACGGCAAACAGTGGTAGTCATCGGTCCATCGAGCAAAATAGTTGATTCGATGGAAAATCTACATCTAAATTTGAAATGAACGGTGACCATTAAATTTTTTTAAAAAGAAAAGAAGAAGAAGAAGAAGAAAGCATCCAACATAGGAAAATAAAGGGGTGCGTCTCCACAAATTGCAGGGAAGCAAGCTAGAGATAAGGGAGACCCAAATCTCAAAAGAGATCACATGGAGATGGAGACAAGTCACCACACCCACAATAGAGACAGATGTCTCTTTCGTTTTGCCATGATTCAAAAGATGATGTTGAGATATGTACGAGACCGAAAGGAAAGGGGAGACGAGGGAATTAGATTTGGATTCCTTTGAATATATAGAGCCCGTAAAGCAAGTTTAGTTCTCACATTCTCTTTCATTGATCCAATGTGCTTCTTTTTAATGTACTGATGAAGTAATAAACAACTATGAATCATGCCTTCAGAATGTCCTTTTTTTTTCTTTCTTTTTCTTTTTCTTTCTTCCTTCTTCCTCCACCGATCGCCAAGCCTCAGTGGCGACCGGCGACCAGCCACAGACATAGGATAGCAAGGTCGGCCTCGGGCAAGGCCCGACCTTGCCAGACCCTAGTGAGCTCTAGCCTCGCCAACCTTCGCCAAGGTCAAGCCTCTAGAGGCTGGCGAGGCTACACCTCGCCATATCCCAACAAGCTTGAGCCTCCCTCAAGGTTGGCCCTTGCCTGTGGCTTGTCGTTGGCCCTCACCAAGGCCCGGCAACGGGCGAAGGAAGAAGAACGACCGACATCCACGTCAGTAATTTTCGATCAAAATTAGTTGGGATGACCAAATTGCTTAATTGTATTTTCGATCAAAATTAGTTGGGATGACCAAATTGCTTAATTGTCAAAAGATTTAGGACTCAATTGGAACAATCAAAAAGTTTAAAACTCAATTAACACAATTAAAAGGCTTATAACTAAATTGACACAAGTTCAATACATTTAGAACTTTTTGATAATTTTCCCATTGTTATGCAACTGTCGCCTCGTTCGGATACGTTTGAAGAATGATACCATGCATTATTCTCACGAGGTTCTGTTAATAGAGGTATGGTGCATCATATATGTATTGACTGGATTCTATTTTCTTTCAAAGCATACAAAATTACAAAGAAATCACAAGGACAACCAACTTGAAGATAAGATCAGTATGAATCAAGTCTGAGGGATTGTGAATGCTTGAAACATGCAATTATCGAGATTATTAAAGATAAAGTCGACGAGTATTGTTCACATGAGCACGTACAATATGCAAGCGCAAGGGAGAATTCTGCATTGGCCGCTATGGCTTCAAAAGTTTACTGCTTCGCTAACAGCGACAAGCTCGACATCATCAATGAGAGAGTACACTGTGGTGGCAGGAGCAGGAGTACACTGTGGTGGCATGAGCGGAGGTCGGAGCTGTGATGGTGCTCGGTGGGCTACTAAGAACTAAGAGACAGATGCGAGAGAGACGACGGATCATAAGATTTACTTCTCGCTCAAGATAGGGACTTGTGTCGTTATCTGGTGAATGAGATAGGTGACAATTTGAAATGCTATAGTTTGAAAATATATATCACCAGACATACAAGTTGCAACACTTAAAAAGTTTCCGATGAAGCTATTCAAAGGAGGACTTGCGTGCCATTACTACCTAAGGGCCTTACCTCAGCGGCTTGGATGAGAGCTGTCCTATAATTCATAGTTCTGTGAACTATTTTGGAGACAACAAAAAGTAGCAAAGGATGAAAGCAACAAAAAGGAATTGCCGCTTGAGAAGGGAAAGTAGAGAGGACTTTACTTGCCGGACCATTTGCCAGCCAAATTAAACAGATGATGACCATGCACATAAACAGTAAACATTAATATCTCGACAAAACATTAAGTGTTTGGTTTGGTTGAGGCAGATCTTATGTGCAAATCACCGAAGGCTCCAGTTCAATGCAATCTTTGGGGGTCGCACCCACCACCCTTTGAATGAAGCGTCGCATGTATGCACATGGACCGTGTTTTGTGTACATTCATGGGATTAGTTAAGCCAAAAGATTGGAATACTGAATGTCAAATGAAAAATTTAAAGAAGGAAAGAAAAAAGAAAAGACTATATAAGTGCATGTTTACACATACAAGTAGCAGAAAGGTCGAATCTTTACGTGGAGCAAATCAGTGCAATGAAAAGCTATATACAAGTGTGGGAAAACCTGAGGCTGCACATTTCTAGAACGTACATGAGATGGGATGCAAAACGTGGCCCATAAATCATCGTTCAAGCCAGAGATTTTTTCTTTTCACAGCAACATTAGTCAACTAAGCCGGTAATCTATCAGTTCAAGTATAAACGTTTCGCCAAATAGAAAAGAACAAGCATAAATGCAGGAGATAATCCACAGAATGCATATAACAGAATGCAATTGCCATAACCATATACACCCAAAGGAATTGGAAATTGCATCTTGCTCGTATGCATAAAGTTATACTCAGAGAATAAACTTGCCAAGCGTCGCACAAAAATGATGCCAGAAGACATAGATTGAATCCCAATTTTAGCAGTTGTACTTTGTTCAGGCAGATGTTCTGAGATGGAAGCTTTGCAAACAAAATCCTCAACCTTTAAAATCACTTTTCTTCAGTGAGAAGCATGAGCATCCATAAACAAAATATATCTCCAAATTTTATGCACATCAATGAACAAAGCAATTCAAAAGGGACAGTGCTTTATATTGCCAGGGAGATCTCAACAATGTGAAATCAGAAGCTAACTGTACACTGATATTACATTATGGGAGAGCAAATGCAGCGCAGAAATTAAGATATCACTGGGACTCCCGTATTATGTGATGTGAACATTAAATGATTTCACTAATGCTATTTGCTCAGTAAAATTTACATGGTATTCTCATTTAGCTATTCATGTAGAAAAACGAAGAATAAGCACCGAGAAAAGAATCATTCCATCTAATACCCATGGCGGAGAATCAGATACCTTCACGAAGGATTGTCCTTTGAACAAGAATCATAAGTCGGAGACAAAATAAGGTTCCCTTCCCGCTCATTTGACTCGATAAGCATTGAGACAACTTCCCGCATTGAAGGCCGCTCAAGAGGAGACAAATTCGTGCACCATAAAGCGATTTTAAGGACGGTAATCATGTGGCCGACGGTGACTTTGTCCTCCAGATCTAACCGAGCATCAAGCATGCCAGAGGAAAATGAGTTATTCCGAATGTACTGTCTTACCCAGGTGACGAGATCGCCTCCTTGATCCAGCGGCTGAACTGGAGTCCTTCCGGTGACCAACTCAAGTAGAACAACTCCATAGCTGTATATGTCACATTTCTCCGTGACCTTCATAGTATACGCATACTCTGCATTAAGGACAATTCCAAATAATTAGAAAGGAAAAACGAATCATTTCAACCTTCTTCAAAGAAAAGGGGAAGGAGAGGTCTATTTAGTATCGAACTAAGGTTCAAACTGGATTTTCGTGAGAGAATGTTTACCGGGTGCAATGTATCCGTAAGATCCTGCAACAGCTGACATTGATTTTGACTGAGGCATGTCGATGACTTTCGCCAAACCAAAATCACCAACATGGGCTTCGAAATTTTCATCAAGAAGAATGTTATTAGACTTTATATCGCGATGGATTATCCGAGGTTTGCAGTCGTGATGTAAGTAGGCAAGGCCTTCAGCAGAGCCAAGAGCGATGCAGAACCGAGTTGGCCAGTCCAAGCGACATGTTGGACCATGAAGCAATTCGCCCAAGCTACCCTTCGCCATGTACTCATACAGAAGCAGATTCGAGCCCTGGTGATAGCAAAAACCAAACAGCTTCACAATATTTCGATGCCGGATCTTTCCAAGAGTTGAAATCTCTGCACGAAAGCTGTTCTCAATGTTGTTACTCTCCCTATCTGAGGCTAACCTTTTCACGGCCATTGTTAGTCCTGAATTCATGACTGCCTTATAAACTGTTCCACAAGCGCCTCTTCCAACAACATAGCTGTCATGGAAACTATTCGTAGCCTCGACCAGATCTTGGAATGTAAATACCTCCTTTGAAGGAAAATATATATCATTCTCCGGAGAAGGCGACTCCTTGTCCTCCATGGAAGCAACCGTCTCAGATGGCCGTCTCATGAAATAAATTATAACAGCTATTAACAAAAGAGATACGCCACCTACAACGGCCGCAACAATAGTGATAATTTTACCCTTTGGAACATCCACACTTGTCAAAGGTGGGATGGATTGAGAAGATGGGTTCTCATTGCAATTGCCAAGCGGCTCGCCACAGAGTGCTTTGTTCCCTATAAAGCTACTGATGGGCATGTGCTGAAAAAGTGCCGCGGACGGTAAAGGCCCAGAGAGATCATTGTATGAAAAATTGCACACCAGTAGGCTAGACAAGTACTCAAATGAGCTAGGTATTTCACCAGTCAAATTGTTGTTATTGAGCAGGAGGTACATGAGTAGATTAAGATTTCCAAGCTGTCGCGGTATTTTCCCAGTTAGTGAATTGTAACTGACATTCAATGCAATCTGTAAGCTTGAGATGGAACCTAACTCTGAAGGGATTTCACCAGAAAACATGTTGCCCCCCATTTGCAACTCAGTCAAATGGGAGAGACTCCCTAAGGTCGAAGGTATATTTCCAGAGAACTTATTATCTGACAACCTGAGAAGCTCCAAGTGTGAGAAAGTTCCAATCTCTGCTGGTAAATCACCCACAAAGCTGTTCTGGCTGAGATCAAGACGCTGAAGCAGGTTGCAGTTGACAATTTCACGGGGTATTTGTCCAGAGAGAGAATTGGATGAGATATTAAAGAACACTAACTCAGATAAATTTCCTATCTCTCCTGGCAAGTTAGACGCGAAGAAATTTCCCGAAAGGTCCAACCTCTGCAACCTCCGACAAGACCCAATCTCTAGAGGAATTGGACCGCTGAATTTGTTTTGGCCAAGCTCGATGGAAGACAGATTTTCCAGTTTACACATCACTGAAGGAAAGCTGCCCGTGAGCATGTTACTACCCAGACGAAGCTGAACCAGCGAGTTACAGTTCAGGATTCCAGCAGGAATGTTCCCGTAAAGCATATTCGACTCGAGATTCAACAAAATGAGGTTGGAGTGTCGACAAAGATGAGGAGGAATCCTTCCAGAAAGGCGGTTATCGGAAAAATCAACCACCCAAAGTGGACTGTAAATCCCCAGCCCCTGAGGAATAGCACCAGTCAAGGAATTATCAAAGAGCTGCAACTGAATCATCCGAGATAAATACTGAAATCCGGATGGAATTGGACCAGTTAAATTGTTAATGGACAGGTCGAGCTTGGTCAAGTTCCTCAAGCCACTTAACTCATTTGGTATAACACCCGTCAGCTGATTCTGGAAAAGAAACAACAAGGTCAGGTTGTTAATTTTGCTGAATTCAGATGGGATCTCACCAGACAAAGAATTCTCGGAAAAATCGATTTCTGTTGCCAATGACAAATTCCCGATTTCCCTCGGGATGGTTCCATTCAACTGATTCCTGTACAGGTACAACCTCTTCAGAGACTTGAGGTCCCCAATCTCGGAAGGGATCTGACCCTCGAGGCTGTTCTCATAAAGGGCAACCGTCTCAAGGTTGGTACAGTTTCCAATTTCTTTAGGAATATATCCTGAGAGCTGGTTATCCCAAAGAATCAAGTCAGACAAGCTTCCAAGCATCCCAAGTTCCTTTGGCAATTCCCCTCCAATCTCATTTTGGGCAACACCAAGATACCGGAAGTTTGTGCATCCACCAATTTCAGGCGGTAAGATACCAGAAATTGCATTTTGACCAGCTCGGAATGTCCTCAGGTTCTTGAGGTTTCCTATCGAAGTAGGCAAAGAACCAGTGATATTATTAGTGTATGCCACAAATTCAACTAGTGAAGATAAGCTCCCAAATTCCTCTGGCAGTGGGCCCGATATTTTATTGTTGCATATATTCAAGATTGTCAGGGAAGACAGCTGGACGAGTTCAGCGGGAATCTCCCCATCAAACTGGTTGTTGTTCAAGTAAAGACCCGCCAAGCTCGAACAATTGCCAATCTCCTTGGGAATGTTCCCGCTAATCGAATTATAAGAAATATCAAGATAAGTCAAATGAATCAAACCACCAATACTGGGGCTCAAAGTCCCAGAGAGATTCTTCGAGTTCAAATCGAGGGACCAAACGACAGGACTGCTATCTGAAGTGCAATTCACACCTATCCATTTGCACGGTGTTTCATCTGAGGGATTCCAATTTCCCAGAAAATTAAATTCATCATGAAGTATACTCTTCATGTCAAGAAGATACTGCCCCTCAGAATTCAGTCCGGCTGTAATGCACACCATTAGAGAGGCAACGAGTAGAACAATCCTGAACTCTGGTCCAGAAAGGCCACATGATTTTAAAAATCTAGACATGCTTAACACCTGGACTGGAATAATGTCAAGGGTTTATATCACCAATAGACGATTCCTCCTGCAGAATCGACTCAGAAGGAGATTTCATAAAACTGTATCCCAAGCTGGAGCATTTAACCAATGTAGCATTCAGACACCGGGACTGAAATTGACATCAACACGAAATATATTAATTAAAGGATCTTTGTCTCGGAGATGTAGACAAAGGAATGCAAACAATAGCATTCTTCCCTTAATTACCTTCTCTATCATACAATAATTGATGGATTTCCATCCATCGCTAATAAAATCCAAATTCATTTCCGAACTTACGAAACCCAAAATCAAAAAATACAAACTCATTCAATATTCAAGTACCAAGGCGTATCTCATCACTTTGAGATTTGAAGCATCTCAAACAACCAACAGTATCAGGTATTCAAATTCAAAGAAAAAGTTGAAGAGAAGTTATGAGCATATTGTCTGGGTTTGAAAATAAAACTTCAGAAAATCAACTGAAATATCACAGTTTCTCACGCACCGTACGAACTCAAAACAAGGGTTCTTTCTAGAATTTGCGAAGAACCAGATAATAAAGTGTGCGAAATTAACATTTTTTTGAGAAAGTAATACCGCATATCAAGCATGCTAATACGAGATTACAACAAAAGCTAAAAACTTTCTAAAAAAAAGTGGCTGCAAGAGATTAAATTACTGACCTTGAAGCTCCTAATCACTCATCAAAGAAGGGACGGGGCAAAGCAGCAAACCAGCAAGTCCTCGGGAGCGCTCTGTGACGCCGTGAAGCAACAAGCATTGAATTCACTCAACACAGGGAGAAGACCAGACACAAACCAGACCAGACCCAGCTCTCCTTTTGCCAAGATCTTACTGCCTCCAAAATCTCCCCCACAGAAACAAAGCAAAACAAGAGAACTCAAATTGCTATGCAGGCCAGGAAAGAAAAAAGCAAAGAGCTTTCTCTGCTGGTAATGTATGGGGGAGGGGGTAAAGGGGAATGATGGTTGTGGAGGAGGGATCTCTAGGCAAACCGGAGAAGCTCTAATGGCCGACCAGGCATGCCTTTCATCTCATACTCTCTCTCTCTCTCTCCTCTCTCTGCGATGCGTGTGCTCGTGTCTACTCGAGGGGCTCTCGCTCTTTCTTCTCTCTCTCTCTAGAAAGAGTTGGAGCAGTCGGGCTTGGCTTGCTGGTTCATCCTCCCTCTCCCCCCCTTATTAGTGCTCTCCAAAAAGGCAAATGATAAAAACTGTGAACTTTTTCTTGGGGCATGGGTGCGTGAGAAATTTTCTCCTTCTTTCCTTCCTTTTTTAAAATTTTCCCTGGATATCTTGATTGTGACAGGTAGGTAGGTGGAGACAGAAGAGCCATCGCATCGTTAATTATTTGAATTAATATCACGAAAAACTCTAAATTAATACATATATAATAAATTTATCTTAAAATAATTTTTTAATTATAAGAAACATCAAACATGATAAATTTATCCCAAATTAATATTTTGACGATCAAGACCCTAAACTGATATACTTGTGACCCTTAAATTGGATTAATACAAAAAAAAAATCACAAATTGGTAAACCTGTGAATATGGAGGAGTAAAATCAAAAACCGGTATACTTATCAATTGTCACGTATCATCTAATTCAAACGTTTGATGGTAAAATTTAACAGAAACTAACGGAAAGTAAATTTGTCACAGGTGTACTAGTTTGAAGTTTTTTATTGTCAAAAAATTAGTTTGGGGTAAATTTATCACAGGTATACCAGTTAAAAGTTTTTCGTTGTATGAACCCCGATTTTTTTTTTGTTACCCTTTTTTGTTGTCACACAAAAAAAATGAGTTAATACCACAAAAATCCCAAACTGGTACATCTGTAACAAATTTGCCGAAACTAATTTTGTTATCACAAAAAACCTCAAATCATTACACTTGTGACAAATTTACCCTCCATTATATTGGAATAATGCCATGAAAAATCACAAACCGGTACACCTATGATAAACAGACGGATAGAACCCCAAACTGGTACACCTATCAATTGTCACGTGTCATCCAGCTCAACAATTTGACAATAAAATTTAATAAAAACTAACAAATAGTAAATTTGTCATGAATGTACCGGTTCGGGGTTATTTTGGTAAATTTATCACGGGTGTACCAGTTTAAAATTTTTCGTGGTATTATTCCAAAAAGAATTGCTTGCATGAAAGTTTCGAAGTTTCATATCCCTATTTTTCCCTTTCTAGATTCGTCCTCTTGGTTTATTTTTTTCCCCCTATAGTTGCTCTTCTTTTCTAAAATGTAATCAAAGTGCTATAAAAACATTATTATGTGAAATATACTCGAGTTCACGCAAATTAGATTTATGATATGAGTAATTTTCGAAATTAGATATACGTATTTTAAATCTGACGTCAATACTCGAAGTGGGTTATCCTTATTAGTAACTAGTTGGAGCTTATCTTATCTCATAAAAGTTGAAGATTATAAGCATGACTTGCCAACAGTTTTTAATGTGTGGAATTTGATTTTTACTGGCTTGCAATGCATATTTGACTAATATAAAGTAACAAAGAAAACCATTCATGCTTAGAACGTTTATATGAAATAGAATGGTGTCATATCCGTATAAGCTATACTCAAATTATGTCACACTCGTGGCCCAACCTAAGAAATAAGCATCCCTATCTTTTTACTATAGACCATATGTAATTCTTAACTTCTAGAAAGTTATGTAGGAGCCAAGGCCTTCATAATTTCAATATTAATTTAACTTCGCACGATTAAAACACAATGCTTGATTTAATTAATTAATTAAACTTTTCTACAATAACACACGATATAGGGTGTGGGCCCCTTCCTTTGAGCCTACCATTGTAAAAGATAGATTTTGCGTCTTTGGTTTTCTTTTTTTTTCCTTTTTTTCTTTCTTTTTTTTTTTTTTTGGATGGTGAAGGTGGAAGGTGGGGTTGAGACTTGAGATAGCTGCTCAAGCTTTCCAACCATGTCCAAATCAAAAAGGTCCATCCATGTTTGTGGATTTTACCAGTCCAACACCCAATCATGAAATCTGGAAAGGTTATTTTGGGTGGGGACCCTCAAGAGATATTGATGGGAAAAGAAAATTTGAAAGAAATTGATTGTATAATGGGGAAAAGTGGAAGTGATGGAGAACATGTCATGCCACAAGTGGGTTTGTCATTTCCTGATGGGGAGGACAAATGGAGATTTGGCATACAACCATCAATTTCATGGGGCTCCCCCTTTATCATGATTTTCTGGTTTGGTTCAAATCCACTTGAGACTCAAGAGAAATGTGTGTAGGTCACAAGAGAATTTTATGGCCTATTTAGGCTTTTAGCTTTAGGGGAAAGATGAGATGAATGGGAGTGGTGGGGTTAGTATCCCTATCCTAGCCTAGGATTTTTCAACTTTCACATGCTCTTGACTTTGATCAAATCGTTTTGTGAAAAAGAGACTCCCAGCCTAATGTCAACTGTGAAGATCTTGCTGTCTTTGGATGGCATAGGATTGGATCAAATCTTGTGAAGCATGTCAAATTTCACCAATTTGTTTCTATTATCGCCTTTTCCACGGCCTTAGAATAAAAAATGGTGAACATGAGGTTGTGAATGCATAGAGCATCGTCGATCATCATCCATCGAGATGCTTTACACATTTGGAGAGTAGTATTTTCGATGAATCTAGGATCAATGTTTGGATCAGGATGCACGGTGCTCCTTGCGAGTTGTGATGGAGGGCACCTCAACTATTGCTGCCATTGTAGCGTCCCCAAGCGAGGGCTTCCCAAAGCGGGGAGATGGCTGCCAAGACCACCATATCCTAGCCGATGGTGGCTACCACAACCACTGCCTCTCGCTCTTTTAGCAAAGAATTAACTTTTAAATAATGAAGATAGATTTTGATTTGGTACTACAAAAAAGCCATGGCAGCAGCTTTGTCTTTGCAATTAAGTAAATTAATTACTATCAGAGCTTGACCATGCAAATCCTACAAGTTAAAAAGACTTGATTACAAAAATTGAAAATTTAAGAGCTCGTGATGTCATAAGTTGGAGAAGAACCAATTGAAATGCTTAGTCGGTATGAATATGAACTTAATCTTGATGTGACAATCCACATTAAACTTTTTATCTAGATATCAATCAAAAGGACCAACGTGAATGCAAAATAAGAATCATACCTTAAGGTCCTAACTAGATTTAAAAAAAATTCATAAATGACATTGAACAATCGGAGAAAGTTCTAAGTAGAAATAAATAATCTTAAAGGAAGCTTAGGCAGTCTAAAACTAGATTTTTTAGCTCACATTCTCACTAATCATTGATCAAAGGATTTATCCGAGGAATCAAGAATTCTTCTAGTAACACTCAAACTGTTGTTCCAAACAGATTTTGTCATTTCGCCGTTGCCAGAGAATGACTATTTATGGCTTAATCATTTCTTTCTTCAGGGGTCCATAATTGCGCCAATAGTAGTAATTATGCAAGGGGCCAAGACTAGTCAAATCATGATTCCAGAACGAAATACCGTCAGAATTCACCAGAATAAACTGGATTCCTTCCTAGAATCACCCAGTTGATATGGTTATCAAGGAATTAACATCATGAGAATCATGTTAAATGCAAGGAAAAATTTGCACTTATCAGTGCTGTGCTCTTCTGCTGCCATGTGTGGCCAGCACTTTGTAGATCAAAACATTCATTACCAAGCATGTTTAGCAAGTACTCGAGAAATAGACATTCACCAAGACTCATATATAACAAAGCATAACATGAAGAATCTTGTTAATAAGTGTCTCAAGACTGTTGAAATTAATAAATCACATTAATGAGTAATTAATGTTCACGCTCCCAGAGTGCAATTAACAACCCTGACAAGTGCCTTAGGGGTGCTAACCTACACGTGTCCATCTATGCTTATTCCATGCATTTCCCCTTATAAAATAATCGCCAAACTTGCGTTCCAACTTCCAACGCAACCTAAAATCTTACTCTTTCCCTCCAGCATTAGGTCTCATTAGGTTAGACAAACCCCAAACCCAACTTTTTCTTGAATTCAGTGCCGGAGATAATGATAAAGCAAGAAAAAGAAAAGTACAGAAGGGGAGGTTGCGTTGTATCCTGTGCATGCGCTATTTAATACTTGCGGGATTGACCCAGCACTTGGTAAGGAGCTGGGAGTTGGATCTGCCCAAATAGGGTTGACTCCACCGTCAACATCCCTCCAATTTTCAAATCTCTCTCTGTCTCTCTCTCTCGTCCTTTGCTTTGCCCATCAGATTCGGGTTGGAAGCGCGTAATGTGGATTCCTGGCGTACTTGGTCAACCCACGATGCGTGCGTGAGAGGGACAGAGAGATTTGGAGATGAGGGAGGGCGAGTTTTATACGGGAAGAGCAGAGAGAAATAGAATAGAAATGGTTTCACTTAAATTAAGGGTTTGGTTGGAAAGATCATAAAAATTGGATAGAAAAAGGAAGAGGGTTGTTCATGTGACTGAATATTGTCTTTTTCATAGGAGACCCGAGATCCTAACCTCATCTTCGTCTTCTTTTTCTTCTCCTTAATCCCATACCTAATCTCGCTATTTCTTTTTCTTGTAATACCATACATAATGTAATGAGCTAACTGTATTAATTGTCTTGATAGATGGTGATTGGTGGGTGACAAGCTAAGTACCGAGCACTCGGGGGATACTCGTTTTCATCCCTATCGTCTTTCTTCGTTTAAATTATTATATTCGGACACGATGGATTTGAATTCTTGGAGAAATGTATCTTCCTAAGTTGATTAATGTTGTTTAAGGTAGGTACAGTAGAGGAGAATCCCTTTCTTTCACCCTGGCATTCTACTTTCTTGGTGTCCTTGGACATGATGGATTGAATTCTTGGAGATGGATTATCAGCATCTCATTGCAAGTACTTCCTGTAATTCTTCCATTCATTTCTACTTCCCTCCAGAAGAATATGTGACCAGTAATCACTGGTTAGTAAGTCTGTAGATGCTTTGTTGGCCTAGATTAGCAGTTAAAAAATCAAAAAGGCTAATTTGGTGTCTGTCTTATTGATATTTACCCATCTTTGAGACAGTCTAAAATCGAATAGGAGGATCCTAAAGGTGACATGCACATCTATATTTTAATAAAAAAAAAGAGGATTAGAGTTTTCCTTTATGGTGAATAAGCTCAGTCCC